ATGAATAAATTGATAAACATGTGAGTGATGAGAAGAAGAAAAATAAAGCAAGGTGGGGGGCAGAGGGAGATGGGGAGGGCGTTATTTCAGCTGGGGTGGTCAGGAAAGGCCTCAGTGAGGAGGTGACAATTGAGCAGAGACCGGATGAAGGGAAGGAGCCAGAGGACGAGCAGACCACGTAGGAGGAAGATAAATTCTAATTCAGTGCTGCGGGTGCTTCTCCGCCTCCGTCCCTGGACCTTTGCTCGCTCTGCCCCTCTGTTTTTCTCACCTCTGTTCCTCATCCTTCCTCTTTGGGCAGGCTTGGGACCATCGTTTGACCAAAGTTCCTGTGGGTAAGTCATCCTGTGATTCCCAGCTTGGGTGGCTCCTTCCCCAGCAAGTCATTTCTGACCTTCCAGACTAAATCAGGTGCCCCCTTGGTGACCGTGCCACCCTCAGCATGGTGAACAGTGACTGCAAAGGTCCTGTGGCAGAGACAAGGTTAGAGGGCTCAAGGGACAGGGAGGTGGCCTGTGTGGCAAAGTGCTGTGAATGGGGGAGTGGGTGGTATGCACAGAGGTCAGAAAGTCAGACAGTGGTCAGGTCATGGAGAGCATCACAGGCCAGAGTAGGGAGACAGAACTTTTTTCTAGATGTGTTGGGAGAAGCCATTGGAGAGTTAGAACAGGGAAATGGCATGAACTGCTTTGTATTTCCACAGATCACTCTGGCTGCCTTTGCAGTATGGATCATAAGGGGCAAGGCTGAGGGGGAGGCAAGTCAGGGGTCTGTTGCTGTGGGCCAGCCAAGCAGCAACAGTGGTCTGGACAGAGTGGAGGTGGTGTTCCTGACTTCCACCTCTGCGTCTACCCAACAACAGCCCAACCATGGACCAGCTCAACCCATCTCAGACACCCCCAGTTCCTCTCCATCCGCCTTCCTGATTGGTCCACCACACAAAGGACCTGCTTCAGAAACTAGAGCAAATGAGGGCAAGCATTAGGAAAGCCGTGTCGAGGAAGGGCTCTCTAAGGGCTGATGAGATTGTGCCTTGCTCTGGGGGGCCTTTGCTGTGTTTGCCTGTCCAGCATCTGTTCCCTCCTTTCTCCTTTGGGGACCCACCTCCCTCTGATTCTCCAGTCTATGTGCTCGAGTGTAAAAGATTCAGTCCCCAGCTCAAGAGGTGGCCAGGTGACCAGGCCTGGCCAGTCAGCTCATTCTGTCCTCTTGGCCACATTGATTGGTTGGAAGGTAGGCATGTGTTCTAGACTGCTCCAATGAGACTCAGTCCCAGGACTGTGACAGAAGCATTAGGGACAACAAGCTCACTTTATAATGTAGTTGCTAATCTGATAGGATATAAGCCTGGAGCTGCTGGAAGTTATTATTATTATTATTATTATATTTGCCATCATTAAGAGTACAGTCAGTCTGAGAGTACAGTCAGTCTGAGAGTGAAGCCAGGGCAGAGAAAAGCAGAGCTGAGGAGTGAGAGAGACTGACTTCTGATGCCATCCTCTGAGCAGCTGGATCTAGCTGTGCCTGAAGCTATGACCCCTGGAAATTTTTATGAATCAACAAACTCTTTTATGCTTAAGACAGTTTGAGTTAAAGTTTCTGTCAGTTTCCTAAGGAGGTAGTAAGCTCCTTGCGATTATTTCAGAGGAGGCTGGATGGCCTTTCTTTGGATCCTTGCTATGTAAAGTGGGGGCAAAGGAGCACATGAGCAACACCTGAGCACTTGTTGGAAATGCAGAATCTCAGACCTCACCCCATACTTACTGCAGCAGAGTCTGCATTTTGACAGGATCCCCCAGGTGATTCCAATGCACTTTGCAGATGGAGAAACACTCCCCTAAAAACAATTCAAAGGTCAAATAGCACTAGATGACTTTTCCAGTTCTTTGCAATCCTGAGCCCTCTGACCTGTTTCCAAATTTCCTCTGAAAAGCTGAAAAGAAGAGGAGATGGGAGGAGCCTGGAGAAAGCACGTTGGTGTAGGGGAGGGAGGACAGGAACCCTCAGGAAAATCATTGCTGTCATTTTGAAAGTTGAGGTTCACATTTCAGATTCCTTTTCTTTTAAGTTTCAGCTATAAGTGCTTATGGTTTGGAGAAGCCAGGCAGGGCTGCAGCCAGCCAGTCGTGGAGAGGAGAAAGGGTAAGAGAAATAGCCAAAGAAAGAAGTGAGGAGAGGTGGCTGGGGCCCCTCACCCAGGACGTGACTTTTTAAATTTAATCTTTTGTTCTACTGAGGGAAAAACATTCTTTTTCGAGATGCCCATTACAAAACCCTGGCCGTTGTTTCAGGGAAGAGCAGAGAGTGGTAGAGAGAGAGAGAGAGGCCTTCCTGCTTTCCATTCAGAGGCCAGAGAAGAGTCAGGGGCTGGGGAGGAGAGAGGGCTGAGTTGCAGGTCAATCCTAGGTGAGTCTTGGAGGCTGGCTGTGTCTTCTGTGCTTGGCAGGTAATAGGTGCTGGAAACTATTTGCTTATAAGAGACGTGACAACTAAATATAATGTGTGATTGTGGATTGGAGCCTGGGTCAGACAAAAGTTACTATAAAAGGCATTATTGGGACAAATAATTAGGAGAAATCAGATGTCCTTGCCCTTAGAGGACAAGTTTTAAGAGGAGCAGGGTTCAAATATCAGCAAGTTATTCTCAAGTGTGGGCCGGCCTGGTGGCGCCCTGCTATAGTGCGCCGCTTGGGAGCGCGGTGGCGCTCCCACCGAGGGTTCGGATCCCACATACAGACCGGTTCCCGCTCACTGGCTGAGCGAGGTGTGGGCGCAGCACCGAGGGTTGCGATCCCATTGCCGGTCCCGGTCCGGTACGGGCGCGACACTGAGGGTTGCGATCCGTTGCCAGACACGAAAAAAGACAAAAAAAAAAAAAAAAAAAAAGTTATTCTCAAGTGACTTAGCAAAATGATTCATTATCTTAGTATGTGTGTGAGAAAGAAAGAGTTCGTATTTTACTGCCAATTTGGTTAAGCTAAAACTACATTTCCCAGAACCCCTTCTTTGTATGGCTCTAGAGGTGGCCAGAAGCAGTATTTCCCCAGACTTTGGATGCTGAAGTAAAGCAGGAGACATTACTCTCACTGGGTCTTCAGAGTCTGATCCAGTAAGAGACACACGTGCTTGCAGAGGTACGAGAGCTTGTCCTTGCCCACCCCCTCTCCGTGCCCTACTGACTGACAGTGGCTCCAGGTCGTCCACCAGATGTCCAGCAGCAGGAGCCACGCAGAGGCAGCAGCCTTCCCTAGACTTTTCCCAGGGCCTGCTACATAATTTTCAGGACCTAGTGCAAAAGGAAAATACAAGGCTTCTCATTCAAAAAGCAGGAAAAAAGTGCTGTTAAAGGCACTATAAAATCTAAAGCTTTTCCTTCCCTCCATGGGCTTTCTTTTGACTGGTTATAATGTTTCTTAGTTTGCTATTTAATGTTGTTCTAAATAAATAAAAATTTAAGTGACTAGGGTAAAGTTACTGTTCATCTTTGCAGTATGCAAATGCAAATATAAGAGCATTTAACTAGACTGTGAAATGACACAAAATGTATTTCAAAGATCGCATAGACACATGCATTTCAATCTTACCAGAACAGTGGAAACCTGCACAAAATTACTTCACTTCTTGCTATACACACACTCACTACCTTTGGCTTATTGATGAGCGAGAAGAACAAAGTATGAGTTGTTGATCTTTCCCTTTCCTTCTATGCCGTAATTTTCAGTGTGACTGGTTGGCCAGTACAGGGAAGTCACCTGCGTAAGAAAAGATACGATAGGGTTCCTTGGTTGTTGGTGTTTCTTAGAACACCTTCTTTCTGGGTTTGAAGCAAGTTCTTGGTTTGCCTGGAGAGTGTGGCCTTTCAGGGCTCTCAGAGGCCCCGATTACAGATGCTCCTCAACTTACAAACCAAAAATACAAACAAACCGAAAATACCCTAAGTCAAAATATGCATTTAATACACTTAACCTACTGAACATCATAGCTTAGCCTAGCCTACCTTAAATGTGCTCAGAACAATTACATTAGCCTACAGTTGGGCAAGATCATCTAACACAAAGGCTATTTTATAATAAAGTGTTGACTATCTCATATAACTTATTACATTCTGTACTGAAGGTGAAGATCAGAGTGGTGTTATGGGTACTTAAAGTTCAGTTTCTACTGAATGAGTATGACTTTCGCCCCATCGGAAAGTCGAAAAATCCTAAGTCGAACCCTTATAAGTCAAGGACCATCTATACTCAGTTGTAGACTACCACACTTACCGTGTGCTGCTCTGAGTCTTGTTCAACTCCCACACATTGTGGGTCCACTGGAATTCCACGCTCGTGGGCATCGTGAAGGCTGCATGCAAAAGGGGCTATGGAGCTGCGGATAATACGCGTCCTGCGTGCACCTCTCCTCTCGCTGGTTGGAGACTACGCTCTGATCCCCAAGCCCTCCTTTCAGATCCTTCCTTTCCAACTTCTCTCACAAGTGTCTAAGGTCTTGTTCCTGTAATAAATCCCTATTCCGTCATATTCATAGTGGTTTTGCTTCCTGGATTGAACCCTGACTGACAGAGAGAGTTCAAATAAACGTGGCAACATATTAACAACCGGTGAGTCCGGTGAAGCGTTTGCAGGTGTCCATTGAACTATTCCTACAGCTTCTTTTTAGAATTCTTATTTTTCTCAATAAGATTTAAAAAAATAAAAATTTTGAGGAATGAACCCATGAGCGAATGAATGAGTATTGTTGTTAACTAAACACACTCCTGTTATACTAGTCTTAGATCATTATTTAGTCGACCACGAGCAAAGTGAAAGCACCTCCCTTACGTAGTTCAGGGTCATTTTCTATCGACTCATGCTAAGACTTTGGGGAAGTCCAACCCCATTTTGCTGGATTTTGAGCCCAAATCTCTCTGTGTTGGGGAAAAGATCATTTTGTGTGCATATGCTGTTGTTCTGATGAAATAGGCTATCGTGCTCCCACCCCAAAGAACTGAAGGTCTGACGTTGTATATCATAGAACCTTTATTATTTTCCCTCTAAATTCTTAGAAATGTACATAACGCCCGTGCTGTAGTTATGACTCCATTTATAGACATTTAAAATGCATCTTCATTTATAAATATTTTACATTTGGTCCATATAACAGATAATTTTACTAAATAATACTGTAATTTTTTTTTAAAACAGGCTCTGTATATAATTTGAATACGTATATATTACATATATTTTTTTATATAGAGATAGATTTACTTGGTGTTCTGAGAATAAATCCTTATTGCAAAAAAAAGCATATATGATAATACAATATTTCCCCCCGCCCCGGGGCAAATACTAAAAAAAGTTACACATATTCACAGTTCTCACAGTAATTGTACGACACTTAATATTGTGCTCTATAAGGTAGGTTTGGATGGAAATCAGTTAGGGGATTTCTTGCCAAACATCTCACTTAGAATTGCTTACAGACATTAAGTACACTGCATTTGTCTTAGAGAGAGTTGGTCTCAGTTTCACATTGTAGAACGAAGAGAAAGTTGGAAGTCTTCCTGCCCTTATTCTAAAGGAATTCACACACAGATGAGGGGATGGAACCGTGAGCCACAGTGAAGGGTTCCTCTCATTCTAAACCCTATCACTTAACAATACGTATGCATTTTGATCATGGATTCACCACTTGGCATTTGGGATGCCTTAGCAATGACACTATTTTACAGATGACCTCAGGAAAAGGTTTGCGATTTCTTACACAATATCAGATAAGACCCTATATGCCACATGAGGACGAATGTGCATGTGTGTGCATTTATACGTGTACATATATATTTTTTCTCTACAATAATGTGCTTAATATTCTGAGGGTAATATCTTATTGCAAGAACTGGTATGCTGGTCACTTTCGGATGAGAATGATGAGATTAAAAAACCCACAGTCACAGTTATTTACCATAGTTATTAAGGATTAGTCATAAAACACAGTTTGTGAGCTAACTAGCTAAGGAGCTACAGGGAACAACGTACGATTTGCTACATGGGAACCCATCTTCCTGGCAAATGAGAAACGCTGAGTTACCGGAGCTTGCAAGAAACTGTCTGCACTCAATTTGCCATCAACACCACGGAGCCCATTCCAGAAAGGAACAAATAACTCTTCCCAATGAAGCAGTTTTAATCTTGGAAGCACATTGCTGGGGGTGCAGGGGGGATTAACACTAGCTCCTCAGTTAGTGGGCTGGGCAGATTTCAGTGGCAGTGAGGAGACTCCTGCTGAGGAATTTCAGGGAAGGTGAGGAGGTGGCAGCCAGGAATCAGGTGGCAGTGAGGGTGACAGTTTAAGAGGGAAACCAAAAGGTAACTGGGTCCATCCTGACTCTCAGATGGACCCTTCCTTCACCTCGATTTCCTCTACAACTATTTTGTACTCTGTGAAACTGGGCAGCTCAAGAGAAATTGGAACTCCTGATTAGGGAATGTCCCGAGGGGGCCCTGAGCCCCCCAGAGTGGTGATAAAAGGGCAATCAGTTGTGCTTGTGGCAGTTTTCCAGCAAGCAGGGCCTTCTGCACTGAAGGCTGCTGGGCCAGGTCGGATCAGAACAGCCTGGCGAGGATGGGGCAGGAGCATGGAGCTGCAGTGCAAGAGGACACGGCGCAGCCTGCTGGAGGAGCAGCTCCAGGACACTGACTGAGGTCTTTGGGGGTTGTTTTGTCAAGCTGCCTCGGGAAGGAGAAAACCGGAAATGAAAGTCAGAGCTCCACTGGCTCCCTGCTACTCAAGAGCGAGCTCTCCCTGGAAGTCCACATTATACCAATGCCCTGTTCACAAGCACAGAACAGCGATCTGATGGAACCGAACTCCTGCAAAGTCTGTGATAACAGTCATGGGTTTCAGCAGTAAGAGAACAGTCAGGTACACGACTAAAAGCCAGGAGTGTGTGTGGCCTCGCCATGCCACACTCGCTGGCAGGGTAAAAATGATCTACCACGGCAGTGACAAACACCGGCCGCTTAATGCTTCTGGGGCCTGGATTAAAAAGGTCATCAGCCCGCCAGGTGCCGGAAGCCGCTGGGTAGCTTCGCCCTCGTCAGGGCCCACCCAGGGTTGGACTGTCCCCCCCTCCCCTCTCTGCATGGTGATGGTGTCTGGACTCGCCACTCGAGGTAGGTTGAGACAGAAGGTATCTGCAGACGTCAAGTGGTGGTCGTGTTCAGCCAGGCCGGGGTGAGAGCGTTGGGTCGGCGAGCGGCCCGCACCCCTAGATGTAGGCCTCCTTGCTGGCCGAGCTGCCGGCCTGGGGCTGCTCTGGGCCATTCTCTGGGCGGACAATGTCTTCGCTGGGCTGGATCATGACCTGGATGCGCTGTGGACACCGGGGAGGAAGCCATCAGGCTCGCCCGGGAAAGGTCGGGCTGGGATGGCGGGGGACTGGCCGCTCCCTCTCCTGCCCTCTCTGCAAGTCTATCCTATCTTCTCTGCCTTCAGACTACACCCAGACTCCAGCCATAGCCTCTCATCCTCCTCCCCCTGCCGTGCTCCTACCTGGCCTGGGCCGCATGGCCTCTCTCCTGGGTTACAGCAATAACCCCTAACTGGCTTTGTTTCCCTTCCTCCCGTCACCCCTTTATCCTATTCTCAACACAGCAGCAGTAGCAGGGCTTCTGTGGAAGCCAAAGTCAGATCACGTCCCTCTAATCCTCAGGCCCCAACAAGGGCTCCCATTTCACTAAGTAAAAGCCAACGTCCTACAGGGCCCTTCACGATCTGGCCCCATCACCTCTCAGGACACAGTGTCCTCCCCTCTCCCTGCTCATGTATCCACTCCAGCCACACCGGCCTCTTCACTCTCCTCAAATACACCAGGCATGCTCCTGCCTCAGGGCCTTTGCACATGCTGCACCGTCTGGCACACCCATCCTTTCAGAGAGTCACACTGCTCGCTTTCTACCTCCTTAGGTCTTGGCTCAAGTGTTCTGCCTTCTCAGCGAGGACTCGCCCAGCACTCCCTAAACCCCCAACTGCTTTATTTTTCTCCACAGTACCCATCCGCCCTCATGTGTTTTTATTTTGTTAATTATCCATGTTCCTCCACTAGAGTGTAAGCTCCATGAGGGCGGGACCTCTGCTCGTTCTGCTCATGCTGTGCCCCCAGCACTGACAATAGTGTCTGGCACACAGTAGGTGTCCAGTGCATATTTGCTGAGTGTATGAAGCCCCCACTACCTTCACTGCACACATCGCCTGCGATCCGGCCCCATCACTAGCACCCTGTCCTCAGGTATGCCTCGCCCTTTCCCACTGCTGGGCTTTGCGCAGGCTCTACTCTTCCACAAGTGCACCTCCTTTGGCTCTCTGCCACTCTAAGACCCAACTGCCTTCAGAGGCTCTGCAGCAAATCATGGAAAATGAAAACTCTGGACCTGGACTCAGAAGTTCTGGCTCTGTTAATAACCTGCTGCAAGATTTGGGTGAGCAGCTTCCCAGCTTGGGGTCTCCGTGAAAGGAGGAGGCTGGCCTGGCAACTCCAGGGGCTGCACACAACCGCCCTGTGCCTCAGACCTTAGAGCTCCCCCTTCCAGCTCTGAGTGGGTCTGGCAGGGGCGTCTTTGGGGGTAATAGGTGGAGAACCACTCATCAGGGTCTTCCAGCTGTGGCTCTCCACATTTGGATTCCCCCTCCCCAGTGAAGTCTTTGCAGCCTACACATCCCCATCGATGTCTCCCGTACCTGGGCACCTCCAGCCTGCCTCGCTTCACTCAAGAACTCAATGCAGTTTACCAAAGGGCTGGTATGGACCTAATATGTGATGGTCGCCTCTGCTGGAGGCTTTATCTCTCCCTGAGCATAAGACCACATTTTCTCTATGTCAAACCCACAAAGGAGGTCTAGGGTAGATCTGACCCCACTCTTCACCTGCTCCAAACCCCTGAAGACTCCCATTTGTCTTCAGGAGGATTAAGTGCAAAGTTCTTGTCCTGATTTTCAAAGCCCTTCATGATCAGGCCTGACTTTCTTACACCCCCAAATCATCTCTTATCACACCCCCTCCCCACGCTAGCCTCCAGCCACACTGATCTCCCTTCCATTAGCCAAATGCAGTTTATAACCCTGGGCCTTTGCACGTGCTTCCCATGCTCTCCTCCCTTTCCCCTTCTGGGAACATTCTTTCTGCTTCTACTTTTAAGTCTGATTTACCCTCAGGCCTCTCCTTGGCTACCCTCAGGCCCCTCTTGCAGGAAGCCTTCCCTAATCCTCCTCAACCCAGGCAGGGCTAAGGCAGGACTGTGCTCTCATATCCCTGGTTTGTCCCAAACACGGTGCCTCTACCACTCTATTGTCATTGGCTGTTGACTTGTCTCTCTCCCCAACTAGACTGTGAGCTCCACAAGGGTGCAGCAGGGGAAGGGGACTAGTCATTCAAAGGGTGCGAAAGGGCTTACCTGCTTCAGGGAGCCCTTTAAGGTGAGGAACATGTAGGCCATGTACCCGGGGATGAGGACCATGGAAGACAGGGCCATGAGCCAGCCCACACCCTGGCCCCACTTGGGGAACACATAGCTTCCCATGGTGAGAGGAGTCATCTGCACAGCACTGAAAATGAATACGCCCTGGGGAGGATGGAGGAGAGGGAGCAGTGAATCACCCAAATGGGACAACCAAGGCCTCTCCCTAGACCCTGAAGACAATAGGTCCACTGCCCTCCACTCTGCCTGGATCTGGAGGCTGACCCTTACAAGGGCCTAGTGCCTTGGGAATCCTGCATCCAAGGCCACTGCCAGTACCTAAGGCAACTTTGTACATACAAGAAAAATATACCCTCTCTGAGAAGATCCATAGGAAAGGTGTCCCCTCCATGGGGACCAATTAAAAAGGGGCACCCTTCCTCCAGGGGAGCCAGCTCAGGAAGCAGGACAAGAGCTGCACGTCAGCCCCTAGTCTGCCAGCGGCTGGTGCCTTATGCAGGGCACAACAGGTGCAGCAGCCTAGCCCCCACCTCAGGGACCTGGGGTGGCTAGGCCCACCCATGCCTCAGCTCCCCCTTGTGGGAGGGCACTGACAATGAGGCATCCGAATGCCAAGAGCTTGGACTTCAGAACCAGCGAGCTGGCTTTAACCCCCGCACTAAGCAGCTGGGTGACACTAGCTGGGTGGGCCCCAGTTTCCTCAGTGGTAAAGAGGGTCAGTGATGCCTGTTTTGCTGGGGTTTGTGACAGTGATGCGATGTGTCTGCTATCAGGCAGGGCACAGAGTAGACACTCAACCAGGGGTAGGGAGTAGTGTTATTCAACAGGGGTCCTGGGCGCCTCTTCCGCCTGCCTTTGCCTCCAGAAGTTTCTCCCTGGAACCGGGTCGCCCAGGGCCTGGTCTAGCCTCATCCTAACAGGGCTGGTCAAGCCTTGTTCTTACCGCCACGATGATTGGGGTGAAGAAGGACCAGCAGAGTTTCCACCAGATGCAGGGCCTGGAGCCAACCATCTCCTGGATATTGTCATAGAATCGGTTGACACCTGTGACATTCAGAGCAAGAGCAGGAGGGATGGGTGAGCTGTGGGGACTGCAGGTTCAAAGCACCTTTCTACAAGTTTCTTGCAGTGTGACCATGGACAAGTCACCTAACCTCTCTGAGCCTCAGTTTCCTTGTCTGTAACATGGGACTAATGCTCCAGGAGTCCTCATTATCTAAGTATTTTTCAATAGCCCAATCCCTATAGCAAGTGGGTTGTGTAGGAAAGCAAGTCACCTTAATGTGAAGATAGCTACCAACAAAAGGACACTTACAAAATGTGTCTCCACCCGGTGTCCCTCCCACTCAACATCTACCCCAGCCATCCCTTCAAAGGCTTTGCTGGGCAGGGACAGTTATATTCCTTGATGGTCTGATGCTATACGAAGATAGCTACCAACAAAAGGACACTTACAAAATGTGTCTCCACCCGGTGTCCCTCCCACTTAACATCTACCCCAGCCATCCCTTCAAAGGCTTTGCTGGGCAGGGACAGTTATATTCCTTGATGGTCTGATGCTATAAAAAACTGGTGGTAGATTGCAGAGAAGACCTTTTGAAAAGCTCGCAAAAAAGAAAAACCCCAAGCCCTCAGGATGTCTTGAAGTTCGCCAGAGTGGCACTGGGCACTGCTTGAATTACAAGCAAAGTCACCGACCAGTGAGGATGTGACCGTGTTAGACCAGTTAGTGGGAGAGGACGGGACAAGGACAAGGGGATGAGGTGTCAAGTACTGCAGAGAAGATACACGCTGGGGTATAATCGCAATTTGTGGTATTGGACACGCTGTCAGTATAGATCTGGCCATCACATCTTGGGCACAAGTTGTGACAATCAGCTTTGTGCTCCATGAGTATTCATAACCAATTAAAAAAAAAAGAAGATACACAGCATGTCACATTGCTCTCAGAACATGTGGTCTTCCTGTGACAATCAACTGTGCGGGGAAGGATGTCCTTTTGGCTGTCATACAGTTGGCTTGAGAAACTTAGGCCACAAAAATAAATAAAATCCATGTTTTATTAGTTATTTGTTTTTAGATAGTGCATACTTTTACTTATAGCCTAGCTTTTGTTAAATATATAACTTTAAAACTGTTTTTATAGTTTTGGTTTCCCTTTTCTAGATAAAAATCTCAGACAAACCTTTTTATCCCAACATTGATGAAAACATGTTAGCTCCTGTTTTAAATGAATCTAATTGCTCTTCTATCTTTTAAACCTGCAGGACTCCTGTGCTAACCTCAATGAACTGTTGTGAAGACTAAATTAATTGATGCAGGCAAAGGGGCTGGTGTGTAAGTTGGATTTGTCGAATGACGACTGAAGAAAGGAACGAATAAATGAATGAATAAGGGAGGAGGGGTTGATGCTCACCATAAAACCAGGAAATGGAGACACATTCGAAGAACACGAGAAACAGCAGGCTCATGCCACTGGCAGAATAGTAATCGAAAAGTTTGAAGACATAAATGCCCCCCTGCAAGAGGAGAAGAGGTGAGAACAGGCCGACATTCCCCCAGGGCCTGGTGCATTCAGTTCACAGATGACATGGGCTTTGGAGTCTGATGAGGCTGGGATCAGGCCACATGCAGCAAGAAGGCTTAAGGGTAGATTAGAGGAAGTTCTGAAGGCCTTGGGAAAATGCAAGGACACAGGCATTGATTCTCTGGGAAATTCTCCCAAAAAATGCAGGCCACATGCAGCAAGAAGGCTTAAGGGTAGATTAGAGGAAGTTCTGAAGGCCTTGGGAACATGCAAGGACACAGGCATTGACTCTCTGGGAAATTCTCCCAAAAAATGTCTGGGTGGCAGAGGGAAACACCCCACTTCAGGTAAGGCTGGAGGGCAGAAGGAGGAGTTAGCCACCAGGGCCATCTTTCCAAAACACGAAACAGCCACATTTCTCCCCTACTTAGAAACTTCAATGGCTTAAGTGAGACAATAATATAACACATAAATAAGCAGAGAGATGTAAGATAAAGTAAAATCAAATCCTGCAGGTCTGAGTCTTTATCTCCCACCATCTCCCCACTCCCTTGGCCTCTGCCACACTGACCTCCGTTCTGTCTCTCAAATGTGCCAAACCCATTTCTGCCCCAGGGCCTTTGCACCTGCTGTGCTGTCTTTCCCCCACATCTTCCTCTGGCTGGCTCTTCCTCACCATTTAAGTCCCCGCTCAATTGTCATTTCCTTAGTGAGATCTCCCCTGACTACCTTGTCTAAGGTAGAGTCCCTCCCACCCCCACTGGTCATTCTCTAGCCGACTCTCTATTCTTTATGGCACTTAATACTCTCTGAAATCTAATTTGTGTGTTATATCTTGTCCACCAAAATGTAAGCTCCAAGAGAGCATCTACTGTGTCATGTTAATTACTGAATTTCCAGGGTCATGTCAGGCCCATAGTAGGTGTTCAACAGCTATGAATGAAGGAAGGAATTAATGAACACTAACTCTGTCTCAGAACTGTATTTGGATTCAGAAGTCATTTTGTGGAACATAAATCAGACCCTCAGGGCTGAGCTCCTGTCTTTAGAGCCATTTATATTTATCATACAATTCATCGGTTATGTATATGTCTTCTGACTAGACTCAGAAGGTCTTGAGTGCAGAGAGCATTTCTCATTAATATCAACACAGAAAGAAAAGTGGGAATGAAAGGAAGCTTTGGGCAGTGTCAACTTCAAAGGCTCAACTCCAATTTGACTCTCTGGCTTTCTGAGCTTTTCAAAACTCACCTCCTGCATCCCTCCTCCAGGAAGCAGTCCCTGGCCCCCAGGCCGGTTAGGTGCTGCATTTTCTAGTTCTGTCCTATACTTCCTAGCTCAGTGTCTGTGTCTCCCACCAGCCTGTGAGCCCTTGGAGGGCAGGAACCCTGTCTGATTCATTGCTGTGTGCCCTGGGCTTGACACAGAGATGGTGCTCAATGACAGGATAAAAGATGGAATATGACAGGGCTGGGGAAAGGAGGTGCTGGGAGTGGCCCTGGCACCGGGCCAGGGTGTGCCAGGTGCCCACTGAGCCTACCTGGGTGATGTTAGAGAGGCCGATCAGGTAGGAGACGATGCAGACGGCGGCTATGAAGAGCTCCCTGCGGTTGCGGAGGAGTCTGGGGTACTCATCCACCAGGGCCGTGATGAAGCCCTCCACAGTGCAGAACTGAAGGCAGGAGCAGAGGTCAGCCACCTGTGGCAGTCCCCAGCCCCAACCCACCCAGAGCCTGGTCCTCTGGGGGAAGACAGGAGGCACAGCAGCAGTGGGACAGCAGGGCCAGGAGAACCCCGGGACCCAGACTGATTCTGCCTGACTCAGGAGAGTCCCTTCCCGCTGGGCATCAGTTTCCCCTTCTGGAAAATGGAGAACTTGGCTAAGTTGTTTCCTGAAGTTGCATGCAATGGAACATTCTAGGGATCTGAAATTCCTGTATGCACAATGAAGAAACATTAGTCTAGGAATGAAGGATCTGTCAGAGACCTGACTCTGCCACTTATTAGCTATGAGTTCCTGGGCAAGTTACTTAACCTTGTTAAGTCTTATTACCACTTATAAAGTGGGGATATTAATCTCTGTTCTGTTTTACAGTAACTATGAGAACCAAATAAAATACACATTTTTTTTTTTTTTTGTCTTTTTTCGTGGCCAGCAACGGATCGCAATCCTCAGTGTCGCGCCCGTACCGGACTGGGACCGGCAACAGGATCGCAACCCTCGGTGTTGCCCCCACTCCTCGCTCAGCCAGTGAGCGGCCGGTCTGCATGTGGGATCCAAACCCTCGGAGGGAGCGCCGCCGCGCTTCCCAAGCAGCACACTGTAGCAGTGCGCCACCGGGCCGGCCTGGGATCTGAAATTCTTAGACATCTTCCTGGGGGTCTAAGAGTGGCCTCCTCTCGCTGTTTGCTCCTGGGCTGAGAAGGCTGGGGGGGGGCCCTCAAGGTGTCAGGGGGTGCCTTCACCTGGCTGTCAATGCCCAACATCAGCAGCATCGAGAAGAAGAGGACGGCCCAGAGGGGAGAGATGGGCAGCTGGGTCACCGCCTCTGGGTACGCCAGGAAGGCCAGCCCGGGGCCTGTGGAGGGAAATGCAAAGAAGAAGAAAAGCAGGTATTAAGCACCTACAGCATACCCAGCACACCACTCGCTTTCTACGTCTTGTTTCATTTCGTCTTCAGAGTAACCTTTTGAGAGTGTTGTCACCCCATATGAGGAAATGGGGTGGGGGACAAGAAGACAAGTGAAGAGCTGTGCCCATTGTCCAGATGAGGGACTGCAGCGGCCTGGCCAGAGGTAGACACAGTGCAGGTGTAGAAGGTGGCCAGATGGAGAGAGACAAGAGCAGAAGGGCAGGCCCTGGTACTGGCTGGCTTGCAGGGTGAGGGAAGAACCCTGGATGCCGCCGAGGTTTCTGGCCTGGACACTGGATGGTGGAACCCTTCCTGTGATGGGGAGCCCAGGGGAAGAGAAGGCTGGGGGAGGTCTGTCTGGGACACGGTGTGTTTGAGTGTCTGGTGGGGTTGCTTAAGAGATCAGGGAAAACCTTGGAATGAGAAGGAGAATGTAACCTCCCTGGGTTTGGCTCTGGATGTGGGTGGGGTGGTGGTGGTGGTGGTGGTGGCTGGGAGTTCTAGAGAAATGAGATTCTTTCAGGGGAGAATGTAACCTCCCTGGGTTTGGCTCTGGATGTGGGTGGGGTGGTGGTGGTGGTGGTGGCTGGGAGTTCTAGAGAAATGAGATTCTTTCAGGGCAGAGAACGTTTCTTTCCACATGGCCAGCCCAGTTCTCTAGGGGACGAGTCAAGTCACCTCCCTGAGCCTCACATCTGGCTGAGCAGGGAAGGGGGTGGGGTTGCCTGGGGCTGTCCTCTGGCCCTGTGGCATTGATGATGGTGTGGTGAGCAGAGTGGGCACAGACGACTTGGTGAGAGCATTTTTGGAGCTAGGAAAAAAGCTCGGATTTGGGGGGCTTTGTATCATGGTGATGAACATGTCTGAGGTGGACCAAAGTTTACACCTCAGGGGCAGGAGTGGGTCTTCTCCCCCTGAAAGTCCAGGACTGTGCTGGATGTGCCAGTATGACCAAGAGACTAAGAACCCAGGCTTTAGAGTCCACCAGACCTGGGCTCAAACTCCAGATCCACAACATTTCTGTCCCTTTCAAGTCCCTGACCTTGGGCAGGTGACTTTGGTGAGCCTCAGTTTCTTCATCTATGAAATGGGGATAACAACAGCATCTATCACATAGCATTGGAAAGGCTCGGGGTATAGTCCATATAAACCGCTCAGTGCATTGCCTGGCACGGAGTGACCACTCAATGCCAGTGAGCCACGGTGGTGGTGAAGATGACTGCAAACGCCAACGTGGTCGGCTCCTCCCTCCCCAGGAGCCCGGGTCCTCCATGGGGCTGCGCTGACCTGAGGCTGCCACATCAGCAATGGACCTCTTGGTGACATGAGCCATGAAGCCCACAATGGAGAAGATGACGAATCCTGCGAACATGCTGGTGCAGGAATTGATGCAGCAGACGATGATGGAGTCCCTGAAACGAGGAAGAGGCGGGGTCAGGGGGTGGGGCTGGCAGGAAGGTGTCGCTATGACGGGCGTGGCTATCAAGGGGCGGGGCTACAGGGCAGGCGTGGTCCCCGAAGGCCAGGTCCCAGGAACAAGCCAGGAGAGGGCGCAGCCAGAAGAATCGGGCTGGAAAATGTTACCATAAGAGATTGGCTCAGAGAGGGGTTGAGCGGAAAGCCAAAGACAGACCGAACAGAATGAGTGAGGCCAGGGGGCGTGGCCTGGAGGAGGGAGGGGCGTGGCCGGGAGGAAGGGCCTCCAGCAGCCGCCTCTCGCACCTGTAGACGTTGTTGTGGAAAGAGTTGTAGCTCCCGAGAGCGATCAGGGATCCCAGGCCCAGCCCGTAGGAGAAGAAGATCTGGGTAGCCGCATCCAGCCACACCTAGAGGCAGAATTACCAAAACTGTCAAAGTGGTAATCACAGCAGGTATCGCATAGCGTTGGGAGGTTGTGAGTTCCCCAGGGCCTTTTATATGTGCTAACCAGCTCTACCTGGCAAGACCCCCAGTTTACACGTGAGGCTCAGAGAGGCGCAATGCCCCGTCCTGAAGCTGGTCCGCGGCGGCGCAGGCCTCGGGCTCGCTCTGAACCTGGGCGGCGCCCTCCAGGCTCACCTCGGAGTCCGACAGCTTGCGGAAGTTGGGCGTGATGTAGAACAGGATGCCCTCCCTGGCCCCCGGCAGCGTCACTCCACGGAAGAACAGGATGATCAGCATGATGTAGGGATAGGTGGCCGAGAAGTAGACCACCTGCGAGCAAGGTGGGAGACAGAGTCACGCCCCTCCAGCGCGCCCGTGTCCCCGCGCCCAGCTTCACCTACACCCACACCTGTCGTGGCTCTGCGCTTCGTTCCTGGCCTTCCTCCTCCCGGAAACCTTCCTGGACTCCTAGCCTGCTCTGCTTGGCCACTTTTCTGAAGCCCCTTTTTGGAGTTTGAACCAACCAGCTCAGCACCTGGTTTTTCCCTTCCCCCGTCCCCTCGAATTTTGTGATTTCTAAATTATCCAAGTGATACACATGGTGACAGGAAAATTTTAAAATTACATATGAACACACATGCACAAAGTTCCCTTCAACGGTCCCTGGAATGTAAGTTACATGAGGGACAGGGCTTGTGTTGTTCACACCTACAGTTCTCTGAATAGCTAGAACAGTCCATGGTATACAGTAGAAATTCAATAAATGTCTGACAAATACATAAATGCATGTATGTTAACATTTTAATGTTCTTTTAAGACT